AGAGAGACACACACAGAGAGAGACACACACAGAGAGAGACACACACAGAGAGAGACAGAGAGACACCTTGGGACACACAGCTCTAACTGGGATGTCTTCATCAAATCCTTCCCCTCAGAGCTCAGGGAACCCCTCAGAAAAGAAGGCAAAAAGAGCCAAAGGGGATGGAGGACACCAAGAGAACCAAGATCCCTCTGAATCAACTGAGCAAAGCTCATATGAACTCACAGAGACTGAGGCAGCATGCCAGGGCTTGCACGGGTTCTATACCAGGTCTTCTGCGTATAAATTATGGCTTCCAGTTTAGCATTTTTATGGGATTCCTGAGTCAGCAAGTGAGTGGGTCTCTGATTCTTGTTCCTTCTCTTGGGCTCATTTCCTTTTGTTGGTTTGTTTTGTCCAACTTCGATGTGATAGATTTTGTTTTATCTTATTATATTTGATTTTGATACATTTTTAAAAAATTTATGAGACCTAAATGAGTTATCTTTTATAAAGTGATTTGAATGGTGCCAAGAATGTAACAAATGTCACATAAGTATTTATTAAGTAAATAAAGTCATTGCCAAACTCATCATTTCCCCCATAAAATTGCCTTTCCTTATAACTAAAAAAAAAAAAAATGAATGAATGAATGAATGAACAAAAACCTAGCCACTATGGTAAAGGCTGGCAACTGAACTGTCACTTAGACCTGCGTGGAGAGGGAAAATCAGTTTTCTCCAATGGAGTAACATGGGGTATATCACCCACTCACCCACTTCAGGGCAGGCTTCATGTTCAGGAGTAGTTGACGCATGTAACTGACTCCACAGTTTTTGGGAGTACTTTTATTTGGTTACAGCTTGGTAGGTTTATTTTTTTTCTTTTTGGGTGTGGTTTTGTTTTCTTGGTTTTGGGGGATTTTGTTGTATTGGGTTTTGGTTTTTGAGGAAAAGCATTAAAGTAGAGTGGGTAGGGAGGGGGAGAGGGTCTGGAAGGACTTGGGAGAGGGGAAGAAGATGATCAAAATATATTTAATTTGAAGATTGTTTTAAACAATAAAAAATAAAATGAATATAAAGCTAGTTACTAGTCCAAGATTACAAATTACATTTAGCAGGAATAAGTTCAAGAAATGTGTTCTGTAAAAATATTTAAAGGAGATTATGAATTTGAGAGAGAGAGAGTGGAGAAACATGGGAAAAGTTGGGGGGAAGAAAGGGAGGCAAGGAAATTATGTTAGTTTTCACAAGAAATTCTCAAAAAATTAAGAAATCATTTTATTGTATCATGACTATAATTAATGATGACATATTGTTGAAAATGCAAAGATTTTGGATGGCTATTGAGTGTTCTCACCATGAAAATAATAATGATGTTTGCTAATGCATGCTAATTACTTAAGTTTAATCATACAATTATGTGATTTTTATACCTCAGTCATCATATTGTATATGACAAATACTCGCAATTTTAGGTCAATTTATAAAAAAAATTGTTGAAATTCATTTTACTTTCAATTATACATTAAAACATATACATGCAGATTATATAAGCATGCTTAGAATGTTAACAGTATCTATTCCATAGTTATGGGCTGTTAGGATTTATTTATTCAGTTTTACAGTTTAATTTCTTATCTTTTCCACAGTAAACACCTGACCTTTTATATGAGAAAGTGGGAATACCGTTCTTTGCGGTTTCAGTTCTTATACAATTTCAGGAATGTAGTCCTTCCTTTTCTTGAATCTCGTGCAGCAGAGATTGACTACGGTAGATCCAGATTTCAATCTAGAAGGAAAAACAGGGCTTGTCCTCCTCCCTCTTGAGAGCTTAACAGTGCATGCATGGCCTGCAGGCCTTGCCACTGGAGTCCTTCACAGCACTAAGCTGTCCTCACTGTCACAGCACAGCAAGATTTTTTTCCTTAACCCTAAATGAGCAGAATTTCACTTGATAAAGCTTGGAGCATAAGCACAAGGTTTTTTCCTAACTTCTTATTGTGATTTCTGTAGCTGTTGGCAAGTCATTGGGGGTTTCCTCTATGCTTTCTGGTGAACTAACAAATGATCTTTGTTTTCCCCCTTTTTTTCCAGCTGACCTGAATAACGTCAGGTTCTCCGCTTATAGGACTGCCATGAAGCTGCGAAGACTGCAGAAGGCCCTTTGCCGTAAGTATTAGCCAATGTTTGAAGGCCTTGATCATTTTCTTTGCTTAAAGAATGAGGACTGGAGATTTTTCACCACTTTTATACCCTTGAGTCACAAGGTCATTTTGTCAGACACAATTCATTCTTTTAAGTGTTCTGCTTACTATCTGCCTAGACTGTTTTGTTGGATTATAACTATCTCTGCAAGTGTTCAGCGACTATTGTTAAACTGATAAGATACTGATAAATTTTGTTTTTTAATGAATAGCATTTACACCCACATTTGTCTTTGTGAAAGTTACTCTATCTTCCCCTTTTCCATTATATCTTCATTTTATAAAGGGTATTTAATATTAGAGGATTATGACAATATTATCCGAACCAAGTTCATAGATATGTGTCATTTGTTTCTTTAAATGCTAATATTAAGATGGATGTTGTGATAAAGAAAAGATTATTGGATTTTTTTTTGTTTGTTTTCCCAGGCAGGGAACTAGCTCTGTAGGCTAGGATTGCTTCAAACTCAGAGATCTGCCTGCTGGGATTAAAGGCAGCAACACCATGCCTGGCGAGATCTTTTTTTTCTTTTAACTTTCTTTTTATTTATTCTTTGTGTCTTTCACATCATGCATCTCAATCCCATTCATTTCCCATCCCTTTGTATCTTCCCTCTGCCCTTGCAACCCACCTCTAAAATAAAATGTAACAGAAACAAAAAGAGAAAACAAAAAAGAAAAAAAGGAAAAATCTCGTCCTGGAAGCTGTAGTGTGACTCAGTGAGTCACTCGGTAAACCCTTTTTGTCCATATCTTTTCTTGCAAGTGTTCACTGGAAAGAGTCATTGGTCTGGTTTGAGACCTCTTTCTTCTGCTACACTATTGATGCTGGGCCCTCACTGGGACTCCTCTTAGATATCCCATTGTTGCCCTGTGTTGTGGAGATCCTGCAGCTTTAGGTGTGCAGGACCGGCCCTTTACATCCTCCAGCAGATCATAGATGGGGTGGATTTTGGGGTCGGCCAACTCATAACCCTGGTTCTGGGCCTGGGTAGTTGCAGGGTTGGTCAGTCCTCCAGCTCTCCCCTGCCTACATCACCAGGGCGAGCTCTCCACCATTGCCCTGGCGAGTTCACCCCTTACAGCAATGAGCAAGGGGTAGGGCCAGTTCTCCTGCTTTCATGTCCTCAGGGTTCATACTCCCACACCTACACCATCAGGGCCAGCTCTACTGTGTTGCCCAGGTGAGGTACAGGGGCCACTCTCCTGAGTGCTACAGCTGGTGAGGAACAGGGACAGCAATCTAGGTCTTATGACCTTAGTGTCATCTCTCCCATCCATCACAGGCAATAAAGTGGAGGGAAATCTCCCCTCTGTCCACACCACCATATGGCAAATGAGGGGTGGGGAGCAAGATTATTATTTTTTTAATCATGTATCTTTGGAAAGGGGGTTGTGTTACATGGTTATTTTATCAATAAAATGAATTATGGATAATACTGTTTGTCAGTATGCATTAAGGGTATATCCATCAAGTAGATAGGCACAGACACTACCACAAAGGAATTCAGAATGTAAGGAGGGATGTCCAAGGTATAGGTGAAAATCTGGAGAGAAGCAAATGTACATTAAAGGTTATCATCAGTTATGACCATGATTGATAAAAAAAAAAAAAAAAAAAAAAAACAGTGATTATTGTCTCCCATTTTAGGCTGAGGCACTGAGGGCAAATGAATGGATAATTTGATTGTCATATTTAGTGTTGTGGCAGTGGAAGAATGTTCACTATGTGAACAACTAGCTTTGTGCAGTGAAGAGCAGAGAAAGTTCATGGGAATTTGTGTTATCTAAGCCATGTAAATCTTTAAACGTAGGTAGAGCTCCCTCTAAGAAGCATGTTCTAGTCATAGGGAGGGAAGGCTGTGTTCTCAGGCCTGGAGCCTAAAGAGAGTGGAAAGTACTCAGGAACTGAGATGACTTCATCATGGCTACTGTGCAGAATTCCAAGGAGGGCTATTGTAAAATATTAGGCTGGAGAGAGAAGCAGGAGACAAATTGTGAAGAGCTTTGAAAACCCAAGTTAAAGACTTTAGAGGTCAGTGGGAGCCATTCACGAGATTTTGGCAAGGGGATGACATGGTTGGATTTTCACTTAGAAAAAACATTCTGGCTAGGAAACAAAGCAGAAATTGAGGGGTTGAGCCATGGACTGGAGATCTGTTACAGAACTGAAACCAATGGTCTGAATAGGAATGGAGGAGCATTTCAATATATAGGAGGTAGATGTTCTAAGCCTTAGTGATTTGTTTGATGGGGAGGGCAAAGGAAAATCCAGGAAGGGAAGACTCATGGATTCTTGGCTTGAGCATCCCTATGAATAGTGAGCTCTGCTACCAGAGTTTGGTAAAAGGTATAGTACTGAGGAGAACTACACAAGCAATATTTAGCAATCACAGTCATGGAGCTACTGCTTACATGAAATATGGAAAGGTTAAGATAGTACAGCAACACACACACACACACACACACACACACACACACACACACACACACAGGGAGAGGGAGGGAGAGATCATTTAGGACAGAAAATGAGCAACTATGAAAAATGAGTATAAAGTCATGTCTGGGAGTTCAGTAGGAAAATGCAAGAGGTTGTAGTGCCACTGCATGGGAAGAAAGAAGGAATGTGTCGTTAAGGTCAGATGATGTTGGTGACAGTGCCCATTGTATGTAGCAACAAAGAGAGCCTTAGCAACTTTGGTAGAGATAATACACTGAGCAGCTTAAAAGCGAACCCAAAGTCTAGATGGCTGGTTTATGCCTGTTCTTAGAGACCTTTAGTTACAAAGGGGAGCAAAGAGAGGTTGTAGCATATTAGAGATGACTGAGGAATTAAAAACGACTGGCTTAAGATGAGAGGATAAAAATGGGCAAGGTATGGACAGGTATCCTAGAGCCAGACAAAAAGAAGAGACACTTCTCTGCTAATGGAGTGCCAGAGAGAAGGATACATGGCAGGTTCTAGGTAACCAAGAAACCTGGCAGCAGGAAGGTGATGAAACCCATATAAAACCAAAGGTTTTCTTTGTGGAGTTTGAGAATCCCTGTCACACAGTTAGCAGTGGAAGGTAATAAAGCTGACACTGACCTTATCTCTGTGGAGAACAAGAGGGAGGAGAAGTTAAAGAGCAGCATTAGGAAACTCAATCAGCTGAGTATTTGACAACAGCACCAGTCTCTAATGGTGCAATATTTCCCTAGCAGTAGCTAGCAGTCAGAAGCTGCACACTGCTGTCCTAGAATAGGCAGATGACACCCAGCTGAGGGTTGTGATGACTTGGCTAAAAGGGTGGTTAGAATATTGTATTTCAGGCCTCTGCTGGGTAGGGGACGCTACAAATTGAAGTAGAATTTGGCAGTTAGGAGGTGGAAGGATCAAGAGGCAAAGTACGATAGGAGGAGTTTGTGAAGGAACTGAAAGCCATGAAGTGGTATTCAAAAAGGAGATATTGCTAAGTACTATTTCCAAAGCAGCCATTTAAGTAAGTGACAAGGTGAATTAAGTGTGAATTTTTATGGAGGTAGAATGGAAAGTTAAGATATAGAAAAGCTAGACTTATGTATGGGTCATCCATGCTAATACCAAAATCACTCAAAATTGAGGACAGAGCTGAGAAGCACTGAATGACTGTAATCCTTGGCCACCAGAGGTCTTCAGAAGTGGGTGGTACTCTAGTAAAGGAACTACTGATATGAGGTTGTCACATACAGACGGGAGTGCCCTAGAAGTGAAATTATTGGGAAAGATCAAGGAGGTTCTTTTTCTTTTCATATTGATATTCCCAATGATTAACACAGAACTGAGCAGAGAATAGAGCTTTCTGTTTTCGTAGAATTAATACATGGATGAAAGCCAGTGGAAGATTCCATGGCCTTAGGAGCTTATAGCCCAAAGTTATCGTTTTCAGGTGTAGAGCTGCCAAGTTTAAGTGGGTAATAAAAGGCTCCCCATGCCTAGGATTTCCTTGGGGACCTGGTTAATGAATCATAGCAGGCACAAAGGAGTTTGGGGTGGGGTGGAGTCAAGGGGCTGAATAGAGAAAGTCTTCTGTCTTTTTTTCTTCTCTTGACCCTGCCCTATCCCAGAGGTACTGCTTGCCTTTGATAAAAAGGAGAATTATGAACTGGTTATTATAAAGTGCTATAGAATATTCCTGTAAGATCCCAAAAGTTCAAAAGAGGTAACCAGCTGTTCCAGGTTATACTATGACAAAACTCAGAAATAGACTAGGTAGAAATGTCTCTAATGTCTTATGACTATTATCCCTTTCCATAACTGTCCGGGACCCACTAGAACATTATTCAGTTTTTATGGTGAAAGAGTTTGATTCATTGTCTTTCATTTCAATGTATGTCAAAATTTTGGTAAACATTGGTAAAATGGAGTTGGATATTGTAAAAAATATGTTAGCTATTTGAGGTGATAACCTTGTAATAAACTTAAACTCTGAATGTAAGATGATTTGGTTGAATTTTCACTTTTAAGCAGATTTGAAATTCTCAGCATTTCTTTTCAGATCTTCACTCTGATTTGAAAAAAAAAAATCAAGGATCGCAAAATTAGAGTGTATTTATCTAAATTAGGTACTGAATTCTTAAGAATGCGTGGATAATACCATGCAGACTATGGCCCCATGTGCAGTGAGAACAGAGTGAAAAGTTTTGGCAATCCATTTACTTTTGAAAAACATGTGTGGTCCAATTCCTTAGTGCGTTTTCAATAGGTGATTTAAGAACTTCCTCTAAATTTTGTATTTGCTTAGGTTTATCTTCCAGCTCCTTTTTTATTTCTATGCCTGCAAAAGCCTGATAAAGAGCTATTGTCCATGGTCTAAGCAAATGAAACTTGCCCTGGCTAGTTTTTCCTATCAATGTGTGCTTCTACTGTGTCTTACATTAAAAGAAATTAGTGATGTTATCTCAGTGATTCCTGGATGCCAGTGAGGAGATTGAATTTCAGATCCC